CTCCAGGAATAGATGGTATACCAACTGACATATTTCAGCTAACAGATGCTGCCCTGGATGTGTGAAAACTTTATAGAGGATCAGTTTTAAGTCGACAGCGGCCAACAGCAACAAGTGGATCTAGTACGTAAAGAGAGTGCACAAGACAGTCTCCACAATAAAAAATCACCTGGCTCAAAACATCAAGAAAATATTAATGCGTTCATACACAAAACAAAGGAGATTATAAAATTTATAAAGTAAAATTCTAATTAAACATGGCACCAAAACAAAGAGTCTACTCAAATAACAGTAACAACAGGAAGCTATCGTCTCCCTATAAACAACCAGAGAATAACCATTTTAATTGCTTCAAGAGCTTTCCTCTTTTTAAAGTTTCCAATTGGAAGATAGTGTCAGGATTTTACAAATAATTCCAAGTAAATGAAAATGGAATGCATTCATAAGCAATACAAAAGTTAACCATCAATTCACTAAAGTCCAAATTGTTAATTTCATTAAAGAACTCCTAAAGAGTTAGGGAGTGGGGAAAATGATGATCTTTATTTTTTTGCATGAAAGAAGACAGTTCAAGTCAATGATTAAAATACTAATTTTATGGAAAAATAAAAAGTCAAAGAATCTGGCTGTGTTCCTGTGTAGGACAGCAAAGGCCACCTCCCACTTCTCATTTCCCTATTCAAGGTCCAGCTCAAGGCTCCGTTTAAATCCATTCCTCACCAACATTACTCTTTCCAACTTCACTCTAGCATGACAATGAAATTAAAAACTCTTAGGAAATGGGTTTATATTGAACTAATTCTGGTCTTCAAAATTAACAACCAACTTATGGTTTTGTGGACAGTTCTTTAAAATTCCTGATTTGTCTGTATCACATAGCAAAAATATTAAACTGCATTACACAAAAATCAGAGGGGGGGGGGAAGAGTAAAGCATTTCACCTCTTCTTCACTTTCTTTATCTTCATCATCTGAAGATTCTTCTTGGTTTTTCTTTGCATCTTCATCACTACTAGATTCATCTGACAGAATCTCAGGACATTTGGATCGCTTCCCCTTCCTTGCCATTCCAGAACTGTTCCGCTCCTTCTTGCTGCCTTTGCTAGAAGCTTTTTTGGATTTTGGCAAAGGCTGTATTTAAAAAAAAAAAAAGCAACAGTAAAACCAATGAAGTAATAAATTTCCAATTTAACGGATTCTGTTTTTAATTATTTAATTAGTTCTCAATTACATTTCTTATATCTGTCTTAGAAAAATGAAATTCACTAGCTTAGCAGCTTTTAGAGGATTAATATAAACTATTTAATCATTAATTGAACATGTCACATAGCACAAAAATGTGTACTAGTAGTACCTTTCATTGTACCCTTTGATTGTTAAAGTTTAGCAAAAATCTCTTCAAAATATTTAAAGAATTACATATAATAGGTTGACATAGTAGTATTCAGTTCTGTAGCTTAATATTTAAAGCTAGAATTGTAACTTATTTAATTACTATAAGCATTAAAATGGATGTGTTTATTAATGGTGTTGAGATTTTTAGATGAGAAAGGTGAACAACAATAGTGACACAAGATGAAAACATAATCAGCAACAGTTACAAATGCAGAAGCTATTGTACTGGCGGGTGGTTTGGTATGTTTTCTCCACAATAAAAAAAAACCCAAACAACCTGTCACAGCCAAAGGAGTTCCTTGCTTTAGAGTATGCTCCAGTCCAACAAGGGTGGAGAGCACTCATCCATGAAGAACATGAAACCTGGTAACTAATTACACACTTTGAACCTATAATGAATTATAGGTATGTTATTGAATACAGGCACATTATAAGTATAGGTATGTTATAAAATTATAAGTAGTGAATTTTGTTAATTGAATTATGTTAATTACATAACCCAATTAAGAATCACAAAATAATTGAACTGCTATTATAGTTTTCATATTAAAAGCATGGTGTATTGCCTGAGCAGAGTTTTTTTTATGCAAAATTAACTTTTAAGAGCCTTCTTTGCTAAATAAATTCTGAAATGGACTGTCATAACCTTTCATAACTGTGGTGTTATTCTAAAGTTGGATTTTTTTAAGCCTCTGGTCTCTAGCTCCCTTAATTGCAGGCACATGGTCTTGCAAAGCAGCACGGTAATCAACAACAGCTGGTAGGAATATATATGAATGACTGAGTGAGTGAATGAATGAATGAGAGAGAAAAGAGAGTTTGTTATGTGCCACTGAGTCACTTGCTACTGACATACTTTGGACACGTTGCAAGGAGAGCCCAGTTCTTGGAGAGGATGTCATGCTTGGGAGGGTGGAGGGACAGTTTAAGAGAGGAAGATACTCGATGAGATGGATTGATTCAGTGACTGGGGTAATGGGAGGAGGTATGAGAGAGACAGAGAGACAGAAACAGAGTGTTTATGTACCACTGAGTTACTTGCAACAATATGTACAATAGTCCTATACCCTGCTCTACCCTGTGCCAATCTTATTGTCTCCAACACACTTACCCCCATTACCTCAGTCACTGAATCATCTCATTGAGTATCTTCCTCTCTTACACTCTCCCTCCACCCTCCCAAGCATGAAGTCCCTCTCCAAGGACTGGTCCCTCCTTGCAACATGTCCAAATTATGTCAGATGAAGCTTCAGAATCCTTGCCTCCAAGGAGCAGCCTGGTTTCACTTACTCTGAGACAAACCTGTTTGTTCTCCTAGCTGTCCATGGTATATAAGATACTCTTCTACAGCACCACAGCTCAAAGGCATCAATTCTTCCAGTATCCCTAGTCACCGTCCAGGTTTGTGATGCAAAGCAAGTGATTGCAAAGACCATGACCCTGAATCAGGAGCACTTTCTTTAGTCTCCAGATTGATATCACTGATCCTCAGTACTTTAGAGGTGTCTGACAGGAGACTTTCCCAATGTAATTTGTCTTTTATTTTCTGGCTGCTGGTACTAAGGGTATTGATATATTTATAAGAGTATGTGTGTAACAAATATGAGTTATCATCTCACCCCAGTAACAATAGTAAAATTCAACAGAGCAGCAAACAACAAATGTTGGCAAAGTTGTGGAGAAATTGGAACCCTTATTCACTGTTAGTGGGAGTGTAAAATGGTGCAACCACTACGGAAGGCTGTATGGCACTTTCTCAAAAAGTTGCAAATAGAAATACCATTTGACTAAGCAATTCCACTCCTGGGAAAATACCCCAAAGAGACCATAACTGACACTCAAGCAGATACATGCACACCCATGTTTACTGCTGCTTTGTTCAAAATAGCAAAGAGTTGGAAACAACTCAAGTGACCATGAACAAACAAACAGATAGAGAAGCTTTCACACAATGGAATATCATGCAGCACTGAAAAACAAGGAACTCATGAAATATTCTACAAAATGGGTGACCACAAAGGACGTTATGCTGAGTGAAACATTTCAGTCACAAAAAGACAAATATGACATAAAGCCACTTCTATAGAACAAGACTGATATGGAGGTTGGGGGAAAACAGAAAAGAGGGGTAAATAATGTACATGGCATTAAAACAGACAAGGGAGAGAACTGTTATAAAGTAATATATGATTAGGTATTATTGGCATGACAAGAGTCCAGAATAAAAGTGCATAGTAAAGTAGTCGGGGGTGGGGTGAGGTATGACCACTGTTTAACAATGAATGAACTTTTTCCAAAGAAAAAAGCAAACTGGGAGGGGGCAGGAGGGGAGACAGGGAGGAACAAGTGCAACAATGAATGAAAGGAAATCCAAGTTCTTTATAAACACTCATTAAAATCTGAAAGGAAAAAAAAGTGTGTGTGTGTGTGTATAGAGAGAGAAAATACATAATAAGAAGTCACTGATTGTGCAAAATTCAATCATTCTATCTCCAGCTCCATTTCTGTCTCCGAGTACATGTTTTCCAACTACTGATTTGCCATGGGAAAGTCTGCTGTTAGGGAGTACTCAAGAGCAATGGTGTGTCACTGGAGACAAAGGTGCATCTGGTACAGGCCATGGTCTTTGCAATCACTTGTTATGCATAAGAGAGTTGGACAATGACTAGGGAGGATAGAAGGAGAATTGATGCCTTTGAGCTGTGGTGCTGGAGAAGAGTACTGAATGTACCATGGACTGCCAAGAAAACAAACAGATTCATCCTGGAGAGGGTTAAACCAGGCTGCTCCTTGGAGGCAAGGATTCTGAGGCTTCGCCTAACATACTTTGGTCATGTTGTAAGGAGAGACCGGTCTTTGGAGGGGAACATCATGCTTGGGAGGATGGAGGGCAGGCACAGGAGGCGAAGGTCCTCTGGGAGATGGATTGATTCAATGACTGGGGCAATTGGGATGAGTGTGCCGGAGGCAATGAGATTGGCACAGGCCAGAACAGAGTTTAGAGCTGTTGTACATAGGGATGCTATGAGTCAACGGCACATAACAACAACAGTAATGATTCTGTCTCTCATTCCATCTCTCTTAACTGTAGGCACACAGTCTTGCAAATCAGCATGGTAAACAACAGCTGGCAGTAATATAATAGTATATTGTATACAGCAATATAAGAGTAAATACACCAGGGAGCCTAGTGGCAAGAGGCTGCACTGCAATCCCAGAGGTATGTGGTTCAAATCCACCAGATGCTCTGCTGGAGAAGGAGGGGCAATCTCCTCCTATACCAGTCAGATCCAATTTGACAGTACACACACACAAAATAATAATAAAAAAAAATTTTAAAAAAAAAAAAAAAGAGTAAATACACCAAAAGTATATATAATAGTAATAATAGAATAGTGTAGAGCACTCTCTACACTAGAGGGTGTGTGAAAATACCAACAACAAAGGAGTGGCAGTGTGACCGTTTAAGCTTCCAGCCCACTGCTCACCAGTTTGTCAAAAACGGCATGCCTAAGGTCATGTGAATCATTCCCTAGAGGGATCGGAGTCCCAGGAAAACTTTCTAGCAAATCTTCGAACTCACATAGAGGAATTAGGGAACTAAGCCACAGATGGAGCTGTTAATACCAAGTATGGACTACACATCTGGGAGTACGCTGACTTGAGGCTTCTCATAAAGAGGCTGCTATTAATCTCAGGACAAATTATAAAAAATATCTAAAGGTTCTAAAATGATGTATTAAGGAATTATTATTTACTTTTAAAATCACAAATATTTTTATGCTCTTAAATGTTGGCCTGTATTTTGTAATTAGCTAAAAACATTAAAGGAAAATTCCACAACTAAGATATTCAACTATATTAAATGTTTATGGTAATTACAGACAAGGTCTTTGTGAAACTGGTAGAATCACAGGTTTTCTCCCTCCGAATATCCCCAGTCTTCTACAGGTCACTGTTACTAACAAAAAAGAAAAATATGGCTACTTCATTGATGTTCTTGTTCAGTGGTCAAGTCCAATCCACAGCAATCCTAGAACAAGAGATCTGAACCTTGTCCTACCTTGTGCCATCTTCACACTTCCAGACACATTAGAACCCACTGTGGTAGTCATCATGTCAATCCAATCGGTCACAGGTCTTCCTCTCCTTCACCAACTCTCTAATTTTCCAAGTATCATGTCCTTTCTCCAAGGAATAGCCCCATCTAGCAAGATGCTCAAAGTATGTGAGGCATAGTTTCATCAAGTTTGCTTCACTGAGGCTGCATCATCTCCAAGACATATCTGTTCTTTTGGCAGGCAGTCCATGGATTTTCAGTGCTCTTCTCCAACATCACAGCTCAAAGTCATCAATTCTTCTTCAGTCATCCTTATTCATTGTCCAGTTCTCAGATATGTAGCAAGTAATTGGAAAGACCAGGGCCTGAATCAGATGCACCTTAATCTTCAAACTGACATTAGTATTTCTCAATAATTTGGAGAGGTCTCTAACTACAGATTTTCCCAGCGCAATACAGCTCCTGATTTCCTGACTGCGGTACTGAGGATGTTAATAGTCGATCCAAGTAAGATTAAGTTGTTAACATTTTCAATCTTTTCACCATCCATTATGATGTTGTCTACTGGTCCGTTGTTAAGAATCTTTTTCTTGACATTGAGATGGAATCTACATTGAAGGCTCTTCTATCCTTTGATCTTCTGCAATAATCTTCTAATAATCTAATAATGATCTTCTGTACTTCAAGTCCTCCTCACTTTCAGCAAGCAAGGTTGTGTCATCTGCATAACACAGGTTATGGATGAGTCTCCCTCCAATCCTAATGCCACATTCCTTTTCAGAGACCAGTTTCTTGAATAATTTGCTCAGCATACAGACTGAATAGGTATGGAAAGACTACAACCTCTGACACACTCCCATTATTTTAAACTATGTAGTGATTCCCTGCTGGTTGCATAACCTCCTAGTCTAGGTGAAGGTTTTGCATAAGCATAATTATGTGCCCCAAGATTTCTATTCTTCCAAATGTTAGCCATAACTGTTATGATCCACAGTCACACTCTTTTGCATAGTCCATAAACCACAAATAGACATTCTTCTGTTATTTTTTACTTTCAGCCAGGATCCATCTGATATCAGAAATGGCATCCCTGGTGTCACAGCCTCTTCTAAATCCTGCCTGAACTCCTACTGCTTTGTAGAAAAGCATTATAAAGCCATGTACAAACCAATTACAAGACAGTTTTGTACAAACTTTCTGAAGATAGACTAAGAACAGTCAATGTATGTGTCAATCCAGAAATGTTAATGGACTAACCAAAGACATTTCTCCAACAGGATTATGTACAAGAAAAATCATTGAATATACATAGATATCCTTGTGAAATAACAATATACTCATCAAGGAACCAAATCTATTTGAGTAAAATCTTTGATGGACTTATCTGGAAAAAATGTGAGTCACTGTCAAGTATCTCACTACTTACTTTGTGAAATGCAGGTCTCAACTGTGTTAGAAAAATGGGATATTCCCTCCACATATTCCTTGGAAAGAGATCCATATTTGTAAAGGTGGAAGGTCTGTGCAAGACTACAGCAATGGGCTCAAGTGTATCAGAGATGATAAGGACAGGTCTGTTGTTCATAGATCGTTAACATCATCTGAACTTAAGAGCTCAGTTACAACGATACTGGTAATAAGGGATAATTTGTAACATTCATTTCAATATCTACAATGTAAATACACTTTCTCTCTAATTCTCATAATTTCTTATAAACTTAATTCCTACTTCAATTGATAAGATAAAAAATGAGTTCATAACTGTACTCGTAAAACCAAATCTGAGCTCTGGTGGCCTAGTCTATAGTGAGCTGTGCTGCGAACTCAAAAGTGAAGGCTGCATAGTGGAATGTGTGTGGGGGGGAGGGATTGTATACCAATGAAGGAATTTTTCTTTTATTTTTCAAGAAGAGGAGTGAACTGGGAGGGGAGGGGTGGGCAGGCAGAAAAGTGCAACAATGAATGAATGGAAATCCAGTATCTCTGTAAATGTTCATTAAAAAAAAAAAAAAATTAAAAAAAGAGGGGGGGGAAGTGGCAGCCAGAGGGAGAAAAAAGGGGCAATTTCTTCTCCTTTAATTTACAGTCCTCCAAAAACCAGCTGGAGGGTCAGTTTTATCAGTAGATGCCTACTTAATGGTAGTCAACTTGAGAAAGTCAAAATAATTTTCATAATAACATATTTATCTGTTCCTTTCACTGGGCTGACTTTGCACTAGCAATACAAAGCAATACAAAGGCAAAGTGAGGAAAATGGCTGGCATCTTAGTACCTTGAGGACAATGGCAACAGTTACTAGTAATGATTCATATTCCTCACAACTACACACCTGAATTAGAAAAATCCAACAATAACAGCCAAAAAAGTCTAAGAGTTCTGAAAGGTCGACCCAAATTAAACTTTTTTCCTCACTATACTCTATATGAGGTTGTTGTTTGATGCCGTCGAGTCGTAGACAACTCATAGCGATCTGAATGAATGGCCTGAGCACTATATGAGGTTAGAGAAGACATTAAAGAAAGTTTTAAAATATAAATTAAGCGTAGAGATAATGAACACTCTAATGGAATAGGTGAAGGAAAGGAGTATCTGAAAAGAAAGGATGATTAGGCATTATATGTATGACTACATTTTGGGATACATTACAAAGTGAACAGGAGAAAAGGCAAATGTGTATCAATGAAATGAATAAAACCCCAATCTTTCTGTAATATTTCACTAAAAATGAGTTAAAATATAAATTAATGCTTTTCATTTTTTAAAAGTTAACTTTATTATAAGGGAAAAATATGCTTCATAAATTAATAATTGTTTATGGAGGGAAAGAGATCAATTTGCCACTTAACATTCTTAAAGAGTACAGGTATACAGTCTTTCAAAACATTTGAAGGGAAAAATGAGCCTCTGATACATGAATAAGCCAATCTGAAGAAAAAAAATTATCTTGGCTGCAGGATATAAGTAGCAGTTTTTACTGTTACACAGATACTAGCATTCAAGACAAGACCCAGAATAGGAAAATCAAAGTTCCAGAGTTACTTTCTGGTTTCTACTCTTTATGCTTGCTGGCCTAACCAGGTGGTATTCTCTTCAATGCTCTGGGGTTCACTGAAACCTCTCACTTTCTTTCCTTTCAAAATGAGAATATGAGACTCTTTACTGACAGACTTACTACAAACTGAAAGTATAAAGTCACGCTAGTAAAACTAGCTGTTACCACTACGTAATTAGGGAAACATAATTCAGATTTCAATGCACACCCATGTTTATTGCAGCTTTGTTCACAATAGCAAGGAGTTGGAAACAACCTAAGTGCCCATCAACAAACGAATGGCTAGAGAAGCTG